GTCACAGTAAACTTCAAATTAAACTCATTTTAGAAAATGTCCCAAAATCATTTAAAATTACTTATATAAAAAAGGGCAATTTCTTATGGTATTCTGTTAAAATATCTTTGATTTCTTAACAGTGGTAAATGACTTTAAATGTAACTTAATCTCCATAGCCCCCACATGTAAAGAAGCATATAAAATATGCTTTATTTTAAAGAAGTCCAGCTTTAATGCCTTAATGTAGCCTCTACAGTGCAACTCCAGCAGCTCAGCTTGAGCCAGCAGCACCTCTGGGTGGCCATAATTTTACACTACAACAACATAACCAAGAATGGGCAGAAGTAATGTCCAATAAATAAAAAAATAAAGCAGAGACTTGTTCAAAACAGTCTACCAAATCAAATTTATTGAATTTTAAAGGGGTGCTCTGAATTCACAAGCTGCAACAATACATGACTCCTCATATTATCTCATAAAACACTCCAGTCTCATTTTCAGATAGGAAATGTCCTCAACCCCCCCCCCCCCCCCCCCCAAAAAACAAAAAAACGAACGGTCACACTACAAAAAAGAAAGGACAGATACATCAATCCTGATATACATGTATGAAAAATTACAATGTTATCAAAAATAATGCAGGGCAGGAAGTGTTAAAGGTTGTGAAAGTGCTGCATTTAAGTCAATCAGGAAGGGCCAGTGATATGGACAGAAAGATTTCAATCCAAACTTCTAAAACAGACACATCTCGCTAAATCGATGAAAACACTGCAAACAAACTTAAGCCTATGAGAGACATTTGAATGGTTCAAGTACTAATGAAATACTATAAAATGCAAAATATTAGAATATTTATTACATAAATGCCATAATTTCAGCAGGATCAAATAAAGTGTACTGAAGACATGTCTATATACGTGTGGTGGTTTGTTTCCGATTGTTTAAAGTATGCTCTTCCATATTTTCTGTCATCTATTTTCTTTGCTCTTAACATGATCAAAGTTTGAATAATTATGTATAACAGGATCAGTTTTGCTTTAAACATTTGGTTTTAAAATGTTTTTTTTCCACACCTGGCTGTGTATGATCTCATTGGTGGACATCCCTAGTAAAGAAGCCCCACCCACTTGTGGGAGGGGAAAAGTTCATTTTAAGGGGCAGGAAGTATCACTGCTCAAGAGCCAAGTATACAGCATATACTAATTATTTTGAACCCTGAATCATGCAAAGTAACTTGAGAAAAACATAAGAATAGAAATACAGACGAGCATCACAGGCCAACTTTATACCTTCTGAAATCTTGCTTCTATTAGATATGTCTTAATGATTGCTGTGAAGACCAAAAAAAAACTGAAATATAATTTCTCTTTGAGGATGACAACAACAAACATGACAAATACAGCCACAACCTGTAAACACTGCCTGCCATCTTAGCTCTTTTTTTAACTGAGTTTTTATGGGTGTCACAAATAGATTTTTCACAAGGCACTGGAGACCAGGTTTGGTTCACTGTCCACAGATCAAAATCAGTACCAGCAACACAGTTTTCCTTTTTGCAGTGCTCAATATTCTAACCCGTTCAGTATCTTTATGGTTAAATATATTTTATTGACATCTCATCAGAAGAAACAGCAAAATATTGTTTTCTAATGTTAAATTTACTCCCAAATCCAGCACACATAATCTTCATCTAAATTGACGAGAATATTTGGTTAGAATTTAAAAACCCATCGTAGCTTTTAAACCAACAGTTTATTTTAAACCTCCTCCAGCTCCAGTCAGAAACAGAAGGTTTAAACCTGATATATGGATATGTGAGACTAAAGAAAGCAGCAAACTACCACATCCTCTGTCACAAGACCTGAAGAGACCCCACTGTCCTCATTTGTATTTCAAGAATCCACAACTTTGACCTTTAAATAACATAAACATGACAGTAACATAGAAATTGGCCGCTAAATTCTCTCTTTAAATAACAAATTAGTAGCCAAAGCTAAATTATTAGCATGGAAACTTAACAGTTTGCGAAAAGACATTTAAGGGCTAACTTGAAGCTTCAATCACTCACAGTCTACAGCCACTCAATATTATAGCACTGTTGTGTATGTTAAATGATTAACATGGAGTATTCTGTCTCTAACAACAACATTTAAAAAAAAAAAAAGAAAAAGGCAGCTATTACTCAGCATTATGTAGGACTTTGTTAGCTTTTATCAACACTGGCTTATGCTAGCATAAGAACATTAGCCTAAGCCAGTATTTGCCTATGCTATTACTAGCTTATAGTGGTTTATGCTAGCATTACTTTAAAAAAGCATTAGCCTATGCTAGTGTTAAGCTATGCTACCCCTAGCATACAACGGCTTATGCTAGCATTATTTTATAGCAGTGTTTGTGTATATTAACTTGAAATCATGCTTACCATCTGCTGCCACCAGCTTATAGTGCATTCCATTGTACTTTAAAATTAGAAGTCAGAATTTTCAGCTGGCCACAGCACCCTGACATCACATTATCAACTTGAAAAGTCTGAGCAGCCCCAACAGGGCTGACTTTATCCAGGGGAATGTAAAAAGTGATAAAACTATGAAACTTTTAATGTGCACTGCCACTAAATAAATCATATGCAGAGCACTGCTCAAACTGTATGCATGCAAGTACAGCAGTGGTACATTTCCCTGTATTGCTATTGAAGCATGATTCTACCTTACCAAGGAGCAACACAAATCCTTTTTTTTCTTCTTGCTGTTATGACTTTACTACTGGAAATGACATCACTCCCAGCTCAGACTTCCAAGACAATAGAACGCACTATACTGGTATTAGCCTATGCTACCACTAGCTTAGACGAGTGTTAGCCTATGCTAGCATTAGCCTGGTCCAATGGATCCAGTGTTGTTCAAAGGTGGATTAAATGACCATATTCCCAGTTTAACCATAGAACAGGTGTTCCAAGGTTAAAATACAACCTTACATATAAGAAGTTAATATGATTTTCGTATTAATGCGTCCAAACATAACATTAGCAATGACTTTTCAGCCACTGTGCTAAAAAGATAAAGCACATTGCTCCCAAAAGGTCTAGGGTCACTTCAAAATGCTTTTGTCTTTGAAACAAAGTACCTTTGTTGAGAATCTTTAGGCTGCAGTCGCAAAACAGCCAAAGAGAAATAGCTTTCTTCTGAAACACCTCAAGAGTCAATTGATTCACAGTTTGTATAAAACAGAAAAGCTGAAAACAGCTGCCTTGAACAGAACAGAAACAGTGAAAAAGTTGTGGGAAAGCAAGAGGACAAGTACATCAGTGTCTAGTTTGATGAACAGAAACGTCTTGCTTATGTAATTATCAAGGAGATTAAAATGATAAAAACCTTGCAGTTACACTGAAGTAGAATTATTAAAGCAATGCCTGGTGATTGCACTGAATTTTGCCCAGAGGTTAGGCATGCAATACCCTTAACTCGAGGATAACCACTTTGATTTCAAGCAGATTGCACCTGGTGGGAGGCATCTATTAAACATAATTAATAATTTATGACTAATGGGGGTCAATTGTGCTTTTCCTGATTTTCTGTCATAACAATGGTGCTCATGTTAAATGTCGTTCAGACATTTTTTTTATTTTAAATTTACCCTTGAATGTTACAGAACAAGGATGATTTTGAACCGTGAATCATGCAAAGCTACTATGGTGGAGCCCATGAATAAAACTATGGAGCTAAAAATTAGCTTTTCCCTTAATTAACAAACTGATCCCAAACTTCTGTCCACTTTGTGTGAACGCAGAGGCTTTCCTCCAGTACATCCCAGTGTTGGTGAGCTTATAGAGAGGACGACAAAATGGGAGGTTAGTTAGGTTTTTAGTTGGGGTGACATGTGGGTAACTTTAAGCCATTAAGACAAGACTGAAAAGAATCTGACTATAGTTACTGCAATCAGTCTTTGGTTTACCAACCCTTAGAAGCTGAACTATCACAAGCCATGTCAGGAGGCATAAATATGAGAAAAATCTGAAAGGAAAACTGATGCTTTGAAAAATATCACATAGAAATAAACAGCACACTGTGATCCTCTTCAGAATCAGTCTCATAGCTTCGTCATCTTACAGTAAACCTCGACATTACACACACGGTTTCCTAACAAGTTCATCAAACCCTGAGCAAAGAGGATGAATTCATGGTCTTCTATAATCAGAGCGTACTTAGTGATAGATGTAGAAAGATATGCATTTAAACTACTCATGATTTCATGTGGCAGTGATGCTCTCAAGCAATGAAAGTAATGTGGCTTGTTGTCACCTGGCTATGAAAAAACAAAAATAAATGAGCCAATAGGGGATGAAAAACGGTTAAAGGATTTGAGGTTTTGAAATTGGGGTCAGTTTTATATAAGGATACTGGAATGTTTATATATTTTAATTTTTTAACATTTTAAAACATCTTTCCCACGCTTTCAAAACTAAGACTGAATTTTATTAGTGAAGCCACTAAACTTCAACATCCTGTTAGCAGAGAGGCCAAATCCAGGCCAAAAAAAAAAGCTTCAGAACAATCTTCTAAAAGTCCTCTTAGGAAAAACTCAACAAGATGGCATTTATGCAAGCTATGAAGACAGGCTCAACTTTAGGGTATCACACAAAAACCCCAAACAAACAAAAAAAAGCACACACTTTCCCACAGCAAATTCTTTCTGTTCCGTCCCCTCCTCCAAACACAAGAAAACAAATGTACCTGTCAGTTTTTTCCGCTACATTTCGCGGAGGGTGAGGTCACGCTGGCTGAAGACTTGAGATATTTAATCTCAACTGCACAGCCTTCAGAGTGGACAAGCAATGGATGGGCCTGACAGCAGAGGGCGGCAGAGAAGAGGTGAGGGCTCATTCTGCTCCGCTAGCTTCACAGAAAACCAAGAGATGGGGCTGAGTTAAAATAAATGAAAGGAGCAGAAACAGTGGGACAGTAACTTTAAGTAGAGTGGAACTTATTGATTATAACTGCAGTGAAAGTGGAGACTTTAAACCAGCTGTTAGACTCAAGCCCAGTTTATTAATCTCAATCTCAGAGGTCATCCCAGAAGCAGACCAGACACTGAGGACATTTAAGTGGGGAAGAAGATAGTCCACTGAGACGCGTCTTCTTCAGTGTAGGGTGCTGAAACAACAACGTCCTATTATTAACACCTCCTTGCAGTGTAAGAGACTAGATGCACTCCATTTTTTTGTGCGTGAGAGTTGTAAAGTTCTGAAACCTGAATCTGGGATAAAAACATTCACAATTCTGAACTGTAGTTCTGTCTTTAGCATGAATATAAACACCTTGTGTGTAAATACATGCTGAGAAGCGTGGTTTTACTTGCATAGAGTTAAGGTAGCCCAGACTCACTGCCTTAACTGGGGATGGATCTGATTTTTTGGGGATTTGGAGAATGTTTAAACCCTCTACATGTATGTAAAAAAAAAAAAAAAAAAAAAAACAGCTGATAAACTGATATCGTAATTCCTTTAATACTATTAGAATCATCAAAAGAGAAAGTGGGAGAAATTCAGCTGAAAGATGCAGAAAAGCAACACAAAGAGCGAGGAATGTTTGCAGTAACAAAAGCACCCTGACGCACTCCAGCCAACCTCGACAAACAAGCCCATCATTCAGCTGCCCGGCTCGCCTCCTCTTACCCAAACTGCTGCTCAGCTAACAGGCTTCTTCTTTAACTCCCCCCTTCACAACAAGTTGTGATGATCAGACTCACAGAGGGAAAATATTTGAGCTGTCATGCAGAATGTGTTTCTAACACGAGCAGTCACTTTGATCCCATCAATAATCTGGGCAAAAGAGTTCAGAAGCTTTCTGTGCTCCAACTTGTACTACTGTTACATTATGTTTTATCATTTATACAACAGCTTGGCGGAAGCTGCCAAAAAGAGGGAGACAACAATTTAGATTTTTAAGCAAAGACACAAAAACTCTGGATTAACATAAGGCGGTTTGCTTCATGCCTGTTAGCTGTAAGCTGCGCGACGTTCCATTTAAATGGATTTTTAGTGAGTTTTGATTCAGCTCTAATGTGTCCATGTGCACTAAAACAAACTAACAATGAATATGAAGTTATTTTTAATCGTTACGCAATTATAAATAAATAAAAAAATTAAAACTAAGACTCAGTAATAAGACTGAAATGTAGAGCAGAGATAAACACAGATTCCTAGAAAACTGTGCAAAGAGCACATCATATGAGGGATGGGTGAGCTTGATATGACCTGATGTTAGTTCAGTTATACATGCACCAACATTTGTTTTGCATAGACTGAATTTACAGGAAACAAAAAAAGGACATTTAATGCATAATACGCAGAATTCTTTGTTTTCTGATTTGATTAATTCGTAAGAAGTTTCATTTCTTTCATAATAACTGGAATTTTGCACAATAAAATGATCCTCTCTATTCTAGTCAAGATATATATTTAATTTAAGTGATAGTTAATGTAACTCTAAAAACCCCTATGTGATGAGTGCAACCCCTGATACACAAGTGCATATAAATAATCTGAAGTATTTGTTTGATTATTTGTGGTTTGTTTGGCCCGATGAGCCACACCCCTCCATTTATCACTCTGACCTTGCCCCTGAGTTCAGCTGGGAGCCGCTTGACCTTCACCGGGCCTCATGGTACCTTCCACATCACGCCATCAGACTGGACTGAGTGACGTTTAGAGGCAAAAAACAGAAGCATTGAACAGAAGCCCCCACCCCCCAAAGAAACCATACCTGGCATAAAGTTCACTGGTCTAATCTTACTGTTCACCTCGGTTGGGGCTTGTTTCTATTTTTTTTTTTTTTAATCACTCACTGGAAGTCCTTTCCTGTCCACTCACACCTTACCGTCAACCTCAAGGTGAACAAACGTCAGGTTTTCTTTTGAATTGATCCAACTTTTGTGTCAAGAATCATAACTGGTGAGAAGAGCAGGATGTGTAGCAACAAGGGAAAAATGTCCCAAAAGGATCCTTAGTTTGAACCCATTTTTTTTAAAGTTCTTGTTTACCTCTCATTTGGTTATTTCCTGTTTTACTTCCTCTCCCGTCTACCCCTTTTCACCCCCCACAGCCAACCCTCGCGTCACAAAATTATCAAGCTACAAGCTGAGAGCTCCTGCTGTCGCAATCTTGGTATTTTAAAACCAGATGTGATGAGAGAGCGGCGGAGCAAGTGATCACATCCTGGATAATCCTTCTTTCAGGCCCTTAGATTGACTATAAAATTTGACCCTGAAACTAGCGCTTGAGCCCATAAAGTCGTCAGGAAAGCATTGCGGTCGAAGAGAAAGTGAGGTGAGGGCTAATCCCTCCCTCCAAGTCTTTCTGCACCCAGAAAAGTCGTCTCCTGGTGGCCAATTAAAGACGGTGTGGTACTTTAGTGCTGGCGTCACTTATGTGGTCGATGCTCCCCATTTTAACTGAGAATACAAAACAAAAGTTAAGCAGTTACAGTTTGGATCCACTGCAGGAGAGCCACCACACATCGAGGAGGAACAAGTAGAAGTATCCAGAATTTAAATTTAGGAAAAACTCCATGAGAAGATGACCTCGACCAAATTTAAACCAGGTATGATTTTTTTTTACATTTTATCTGCCTAGGAGCTGAACTTCACACCTAAGAAAAAATTATTTCAGGGCAAGACATTACAATATTACTGTTTTCTTTTAAAAAAAAAAAAAAAAAAAAAAAAAACCCTGTGTGAGAGAGGCCATTTCTTAATCAATCATGGTGTCAAAAATAGTTCCCTACAGATAATGGAAAACTATAAACCTGAAAATGAAGGGTGGAAACACTGATGAAAATAAGAGTGTAGGTAATTGCGTGCACTATGAGAAACTGGTGAAAAGTCAGAGGCTATCACATTAACCAGGTAACGATGTAACTGCTTGGTGACGCGTATTCCTCATTTCCTATCTCTGCTAACACTGCCTGAACTTCCATGCCGCCCACCACAGGCCCCAATCCTTGTCACCAGCGTGACAAATAAAATGATCTGAAAAGAAATCTAACTATCTGACATGTTACTCTTAAATGAAAACCAGCCATAACACCCACAAACATACACTGTAACAGGACTTTCCAATCAGCAGCTGTAAACAGTAGGAGTAAGGATCGTATCTCCTCTTTAGTTTCTGGTACGTTTGCTCCACATTTCACTTGCAGTGCAGCAAACATGATCTTTTTTTTTTCCTTCTTTTTTCAGTGCTGTAAATGTATTCAGACACAGTGAAGCACTTCAGCGAGATCCAGGTCAGAGTCACATCCCAAAAAAATTTAAATCACTAAACTTCAGTAGTAGAGTTAGATTGGAGGTGGAGAGGTCCACGTAGGCAGAGGAGTTGGTTGAAGTGTGCGGAAAATGCCCGGGAGTTGTGGAACGAGAGCAGGCAGTCCTGGTGTACTACAGTACGATGGTTGGGCTGAGCGTTAGTAGCTGAGTGTGTGGCTAGAGCAAGCGGTCGTGGTCCGTGTATCAATCATCTTTTGAACTGTCAGTGACAGCGGCGGTGTCGGCCGTGGGAGACGAGGCTGGGCTGCGGCTGCGCTGGTAAAGACGGTAGCCCTTTCGGCACAGCAGGACGAACCAGTAGACCTGCGGCGCCAAGATGCACGAGTTGCCCAGGTTGGCAGACAGCGGCAGGTGGAAGGGCACGCTGTAGAGAGGGATGCTGTAGTGACGGCCGTACATCCAGTACATGAACGGGAAGAGGGCGATGCGGCACATGAAGAAGGTGAAGAGGACCATCCCGCCATTGAGCTTGTGCAGCCAGGAGTCCTGGAGGCTGAGCTGGAGGAGAGAAAAGAGAAAAAAGGGAATTGCAGATGAAGAGATGCGTTCAGAGAGCACAGCGAAAACACATTTTCCAAACTACAACTGTTTTTGATGACTCATCCACACATATACATTTGGGTCTGTAAAAAGCAGACCTGTACTCCAATGTGAGGCCAGAGATCTATTAGAGATTACCCCAACTTCCTCCCACAGTCCAAAGACATGCATGTCAGGTTAACAGGCATTTCTAACTGGAGACGCACTGATCTGATGTGGCGGTCTGATCCTGACTCACAAAGCTTAGTGACAACGAGCTGATCCACACCTGATCCATTCATTTCAGTCGCTTTATGACTTCGCAGGCGGCCACCTGCTGGTGTTGGCCAGAGGGGCCGATGGCGCGATATGGCAGCCTCACTTCTGTCAGTCTATCCCAGGGTAGCTGCCTCCACCAGTGTGTGAATGAACAGTGGAATTGTAAAGCGCTTTGGGTGCCTTGAAAAGCGCTATATAAATCCAATCCATTATTATTATTATCACACATCAGCAGCAGTCATTAGCAGGGAGGGCTAACGTAACATGGAGGAAGGTAACAGCAAAGCGACAGCAGCTTGGAGCTACTTAACTGACTATATCAGTGGCTTTTATGGCCTCCCCCAAGGAGGTTAGGTTTCAGGTGGATGTTCGGTACTCTGCCTGTAAAAGTGGTAGCTTTGAATGGATTCTGATAAATCTTTGTAGGGGTGTAGAGTGGGGGTCATGTTAACAGTCTATTAAAATATGTCTTACATCTGCAAATGTCTTGAAGGTTAACTTCATGATTTATTGATCAAAAATGGCCAAAAAGCCTTATAACTTAGAAACTATGATTCATACAAGTGTGGTGTGCACTGTCAACATTTAGAAAGTAGTGTATCGAGTTTAAAATGTCCTATTTGACCTCTGACCTCTCCTTAAAGGTCAACCGTTTGATTCAAAAATTAAAGTGATAAAAATGCTATAACACTGCCCAGCAAGCTGCTCAGCAGAGGTTTCTGTTTGTTTATATATTTGTGAAGGTTTTCATTTATGTGTCAGTCTGTGCATGTAGAGCTGGGGACACCGAGGCATTCTCAAACCAGATGACACACGTAATCTCTCCACGGTGTACTGTGTTTGCCCCGGGCCTCCTCCTGGTAGGACACGCCCCAAACACCTCACCAGTGTGACACCCAGGTGTCTCCAGAAGCCCAAAGGAATTAATAGCTTAGTGAATTTATATTCTTGGAGAATTTCATTTTCTTAAGTTTGTAAAGTACCATTTACCTTGAGCCTCACAGTGAGGATTACTTTAACTCTGGCAGATACCTGAATCTGAAAAGGAAAAAGTTGTATCGGGACATCTTTAATTGTTAATTGTCCAGTGTTAGACTGGAGACGTGTCCAGGAAGTACCCTGCCTCTCGCCCTTGGACAGCTGGGAGAGACTCCAGAAAAGTTGCTTCAAACTGTGCACAAGTAGGTTACTGTAGTTGAACAATGCAACACTTTTTACTCAGTAACATTAACAGCATTTTGGTGTGATGCATATTAATTATTTGTGGGATTTCATGCTTCACTTTTGTACCCTAATACACTGAAACGGTGTTAACAGTCTGGCAGAGGACCTGAAAGCAGAGAACTTAAAAACTCTTTGTTCGATTTGTATTGCTTATTGTCATTTATGCTTAGAAATATTTAACCATATATGCTTAGAGGTGTATAATCGATTGTGTAGTGATATGTGTGATCCTTAATAGTCTGCAAAGGCTTGGTGTGCATTCCAGAGTGCTCTGGCATTCACGCCCACATCCTGGGAGCATGGGAGAGGTCTACCTTCTCTTATTGTTTTATGGTAGGATAAACGTAGCTATGTCAGTTTTAGTCTAAGTGCCTTTTGTTTAGATGAACTGTTGGACTTCCAAACCAGCAGGGTTAGCGAAGTTGTTTATGGGGTCACACTCTGACCCCACACTCACACACACACTTACACAACACACAGGCAAGGTACTCTTTGTTTGTATGTAGACGTCGTATGTTAATGAACCTATGCATATTCATGTATATTCATATTCATGCCCAGCCAGGCTCCACCATCAGCCAGCAGGCCACAGCCAGGCTCCACCATCAGCCAGCAGGCCACAGCCAGCAGGCCACAGCCAGGCTCCACCATCAGCCAGCAGGCCCAGCCAGCAGGCCACAGCCAGGCTCCTCCATCAGCCAGCAGGCCCAGCCAGCAGGCCACAGCCAGGCTCCACCATCAGCCAGCAGGCCCAGCCAGCAGGCCCAGCCAGCAGGCCACAGCCAGGCTCCTCCATCAGCCAGCAGGCCTAGCCAGGCGCCATCATCAGAAATTCCGCTTCCGGGTCCCTCGTGGTGGCCGCCTCGTGCTCTCGCTTCAGTATGCCACCCAAGAAAGGCCCAACACCAGAGGAGGTTGAGGACATTAAAACCTCCCTCGGAGCGCTGTGCGGAGACGTGGCAGCAGTCAGGGCGCAGCAGGAGCTGCTTCTGGGGCTACTGGAGGAGGTAAAACAGCTACGCCTCCAAAATGCCGAAAAGGACAGACGGATCATGGATCTCGAGCGGCGGGTGGATGAGCTGGAGCAGTACACCCGTACGAACGACGTGGTCATCAGCGTTATTAAAATCAAGCCGCGCTCGTACGCGCACGCAGTGGCCGGGAACGTCGGGGAGCCCAGCGACGAGGAGACCCGCTCGGTGGAGCAACAGGTGGCGTCCTTCCTCCAAAGCAAGGGGATAGAGATGGACCTGGAGCACATAGAAGCATGTCACTCACTGCCCAGGAGGAGTGACAGACCGCCGGCCGTCGTTATGAGATTTGTCAATCGGAAGAACAAGGTCGCAGTGCTGAAACAAGCACGCAAACTGAAAGGCACGGATGTTTTCATTAATGAGCATCTGACACGAAAAAACGCAGACATCGCGAGGAAGGCAAGGCAACTGAAGAAGAATGGTAAAATACAACATACATGGGTAACAAACTGTAAGATTTTCATTAAGCTAAACGGGACACCAGAAGAGGCAAAAGTACTGATAGTGAGGAACATGGAGGATCTGGACAAGTACAACTGACACTAATGTATCGAGGTAATATATAACTCTAATGACAATCAAATGATAAATACACCAACATCTCTAATTACACCAGGAAATGACATGGACATGTTGAAATTAATTCTTCAACAGAAAGTAATTGATCTAGATTGTGAACATAAGGAGCATAATATAATAGATCCAGAAATAGATTCTGGAAGTAACTTTCTCTCTACTTTTGTTAAAAATTGTAATTATTTCACTCAGGAACAATATGAAAAAGAAATTAACCTAGACGGGAAGCTCTCATTAATTCACTTTAACAGCAGAAGTATGTACTCTAATTTTGATTTCATTAAGGACTATTTGCAACAATTTTCTCGCCCCTTTAGTATTATAGCCATCACTGAAACTTGGTTCAATGTCGATAAAGGAATAGATTTTTGTTTGAATGGATATGATTTAAAAAACATGAATAGATTAAATAAGGCGGGCGGCGGGGTTGCTATATATGTTCATAACTCTATAAAATATAATGTTGTAACAACTATGTCTATGGCTATTGATGGAATTTTGGAATGTTTGACTATTGAGATCATGAATGAAAAAAAAGAGAAATGTTATAATAAGTTGCATATATCGGACACCCAGTTCAAGTATTGACACTTTTAATGAATGGATAGAAAAAACGTTTGCTTCGGTGAACCAAAAATTACTATTTATCTGTGGTGACTTTAATATTGATTTGCTAAACCCAACAAGGTTAAAAGCCATTGATGAGTTTACTGACACGATGTACAGCTTATCACTATATCCAACAATAACAAAGCCAAGCAGAATAACATCACATAGCGCCACTATTATTGACAATATTTTTACTAATGTCATGGATTTCCAAATTAATAGTGGCCTGCTTGTCTGTGATATAACTGACCACTTACCAGTTTTTACTTTGTGTGACTGTGATTTTAAAAAAATAGATACCAAGATCATGATAGCAAAGCGAACAATAAATGAAGAAGCAATTCATGCCTTCAATTTCGATTTAGCACAACAAGATTGGAGTTCGGTGTATGAAGAGTCAGATGTGGACAAGGCTTATGACAATTTCCTAGATATTTTTACTATGTGGTACAATAAACATTGTCCTGTAAACGAACACATGACAAAGAAAAAAAGATAAAAAGTCCTTGGCTCACAAAAGGAATTATTAATGCTTGCAAAAAGAAAAACAATCTGTATAAACAGTTTATCAAAGTAAAAACAAAAGAAGTGGAACAAAGATATAAAGCATATAGAAATAAATTGACTGATATTATAAGAACGAGCAAACAACTTTATTATAGAAGAAGATTATATGAAAATAAAAACAATATAAAAGGAACTTGGGATGTGTTAAACAACTTAATTAAACAAGGATCTTCTGGAACATCATATCCTGAATATTTTACTGATGCAAATGGTGAAAATCACAACATGAGTAATATTGTCGATGGGTTCAATAAATTCTTCATAAATGTTGGCCCTGAACTAGCAGCGGACATCCCGTGTCATAAAAATGAAAATATCAGCAATATAAAATCACTGTTCCTCTCAGCTACAAATGAGCAAGAAGTAATAAATATCACATTAGAATGTAAAAGTAAGTCTTCAATGGATTATCACGACATAAATATGTCTGTAGTTAAACAGGTTATTCTGAATATTGCTAGTCCCTTAACATATATCTGTAATTTATCATTTCAGTCCGGTTGTTTTCCAAAAAAAATGAAAATTGCGAAAGTAATACCACTATATAAAAGTAATGACAAACATAGTTTTACCAATTATAGGCCTATTTCTCTACTGCCTCAATTCTCAAAAATTCTAGAAAAACTTTTTAATTCAAGATTAGAAAAATTCCTTGAAAAACATCAAATAATAAATGTTGGTCAGTATGGT